GACTTCATCTGTTTCCCACTGGCTCCATGGGACAGGTAATCAGGTTTGGTGAGCTATTGTCTCAGAACGGCAGCTACCTGCCTGGTAATCGTAAATGAGCGAGCGTGATGTGGAAAGACTATGGCAAGATTTTTCTTGGGTGAGAGAGATGGGGGGGGGAGCCAGAGACTGGAGAAAGAGAAGCTGTAATGGACAGTGCCAGAGAAGCTTGTGTCCCTGAGGATTCTTCTGCAGTGATGGCTATTGGTATCTTTGTTTCCTTGGGGGACCGCTGCTCTGTCATCTTGAGCACACTTTCACAATAAAACACACATGCACACCCGTCACACTCACGTGCACATACACGCAATCCTCCAACACTGCATTCTGCCTCCTAGGTATTAGTCTGTTTTTCTGGGATATACACACTCAATCATTCACAGCTGCACACATGAATTTGGTTTGTGAGGCACTGAACAAAACACACATGCGATGAGTTGTACGGTTCCCCAGTGCTACACTGTGGCATCCATTATTGCCCAGCACAATGAATCAAGGTCATGCCTTCAGGAGATCAGCATTTTGTCAAAGTGACCCGTATTGCCGCCATCACTGTTGCTGCTGCTGTTGCTGAGAATTTATGCATCACTCTCTGGTTGTTCGTTCTTGACATTTTCAGCTCAGTAGGTGGCTAGAAATCTTTTCAGCATAACAATGCTGTTTTGAAAGCAGGAAATCAATTCATGTTTTTCATGTGTTGTCATGTGTTAGTTACCTGCAGAGGGAGAAAGTAAGGAGACAAATTTAGTCAACTACAGATTTAAAGTACTGCCACTTTTCCTGTTGTCAGCCATGTATTCATACTGGGTATCACATTCTAACAAAGTATAGTTTAAAGAGGTTAGGTACTATTGACTTTAAAACATATGGACATTCAGAAACATTGAATAAACTCTTAATAATGTAAGAATTAATGGGAAATTTAAAAAATGTATTGGACCACCTGTCATAACAATCAGAAAACACCTAAATTTAGCTTAAAAACTGTTGAAAAGTGTCAGTTAGATGTTAGTTTAATTTAGAGATCACATCAATATTTTCATTATTTCTTTTCCATTGTGTCTTTCGCCTTCTCTTCTTAATCTTTATCTTCTGCCACTCCTCTCTCCTCCTCAAAGATCAATGGGCTTTGATCAGTAGTTGTTCATCAATAGTCATGAGAATTTGCATACTAATGATCAAAGAACTGACCTCACAGTCCATTGTTCATTCAGTGGAGCTAGTTTGAGTCATTATGCAATGTCCTGTTTATAAGGTTGGGAAAACCTGCAGTCAGCTGAAACTGAAGAAGTCACTTGGATGCGTGACAAAATGTTTTTCCCACTCAAAACGTTACGTCCAACCTTTTGGGACTCTCTCCTCCTCATTTCCACCTTGTCCTTGTCTTCCTGCCCACGTGAAGCCTCATCACCTGAACTGAAGTCTCGGCTCTAAAATAAGAAAAACTGGCATAAAAAATCTTGTTTATTCTCAATATTGTTGCTGTTGCTTATTGTTGCTGATTAGACATGCAGCCCTCTCATCTCCCGGCAGCTGACAGCCATTCAGCAACAACAATGACATATTTAGTCCCTCTTTGGGGGGATACTTCCATGGGCTTAAATCTGGAACTCTCCACCATTTGACCCTAGAACTGAAGAAGCTTCTCGGATGAGAGGTGAAACGTCTTCAAGCAACCTAAAGAAGTCCAGACGCTTTTCTTTCCAAGCTCCTTAGACTACGATGACCTGGATGACTGAGAACCTTCACAGACAACAATGACATGTGGTTATAAGCTAACACTTTGCCAGCTAACATTAGGCTAGTTTGCCCTAAAATCACACATTTCCACTGATGAACAGGTTGATCACATTCTCACATCATATGAGAGTTTATTCACTTGCATCCAAATCTGATGATGTTAGAACCACTTCAAATAAAGCTGTGGTAACACCAGTTAACAGTGGCTAACACTGGCTAAAATAGCATATACCATAACTAACTGTGGAGATAAACAGTGGACTGGAAGTTAATTGTTAAAGGTCATCATTCATCATCATATCCTTTAAGAGGGCTGATCTGTTCCCCTCAGAAGATTTGTCCATCAGTTAACAGCTTAAAGGCTGATACATTTATAGCTTTTATTAACCCTTTAAAGCCAGACGGAGCGGCAGGCTCCGTTTTGCGTAACTATTTTTAAATCCCAGTAGAGCTGCAACCACGTAAGCTAGTGCAATAATCTTTGTTGCATATGAAACTGGAGGAGTTGTACTTACATCTTAAGCCATCAGCTTGTCCTAGGTCACGGTTTACTTCCACATATAGCTTTGCAAAAATTGCATAAATACCACTTGCAGCAACAAAAACACAATATTCCAGAAACAGGCTTTGCCGATCCGATCAGCTGTTTGTAACACTTCCTTCGTTGGAATAGACATCAGAGCGAACCAGTGTTGCCAACTCCTCAGTATGGAAAATCGCTATTGGTTGTCCTAAAAGTCGCTAGAAGTTTGCTAAATGACGTCATCGCCCCATTT